ACCAAAAAAAAAAAAAAAATCAACCTGCCAAATGCCCTGTTACTCTTTACAAAGTATCTACAAAATGAACTAAAAGCAAAATGTTCAAAGTATAGCTGGCAGCAAGAAAGCTAAACAGACCCGACCGATAACAAATCCTATAAAAACTTTAAAAAAATACTACTTGCCCGGCTGGGCGTGGCTCAGTTGAGCGCCCAGACGACGGGGTCGACTCCCGGTCAGGGCGCAGGCCCGGGCTGCGGGCTCCTTCCCCAGCAGGGGGCGCGCAGGAGGCGGCCGATCCGTGGCTCTCACCACTGATGTTTCTCTCTCTCCCCCTCTCCCCTCCTCTCTCTGAAATTAACATATTTCTAAAAAAATAAAGAAATTCACGTAACAGAATAACGGATTTCCAATATAAGGCCGTGCCCATTCCTGCTCAGGAGCATACGATCCCAGTGCCTCAGCAATGACCTAAAAAGGCAGGCGCTGCCTGGTCCCGGGCGGGGCACCTGTGCGCACGCTCGGCAGCGTCCGAGCGAGNGAGCGAGTGATCGGCGGGGGCCGTTCGGGGCCCAGCCACGACCAAGATAACGGGGAGGGAACCCGCGGCCGACAGAACGCTCCTGAGATTAGCAGCAAATTATGAAGCAGGAGCGAGACAGTGACGGCCGAGGAGGAGGCAGGACACCCGCAGGCTGGGGGAGAGGACGGCAGGAGCAACAGCAAGCGCGAGGACAGGGCTCGATAAAACAGGGGACACCCGGGAACACACACTACTCAGAACACTCGTCAACAGAAAAACAATCCTAACGGTCCCGCAGCTGGGACAGGTGTCTCTAAATAAGGAGAGATGCTGTAAAATTTAACGGGAATATTTACGATGCCATATCCTTACAGAATGTAATGTGAATTATCGGAACCAAAATTAAATTTGAGAATTAAATTTCCATCGCTAAGATCTTTTCAGAGCCAAGACTACATAATTATTATACATAAGTATTCAAGAAATAAAAAAGGAAAAAACAAAACAAAAACACAAGAGAAGACAAAGGGGCAGAAAAACCGGTTTGCGAATAAATACCTCCCTTGGTTGACAACGGTGTAACTTGCCGTCTTTACAGAATAAAAATATGTCTGGGCCTGATTTAGAGATGAATTCTCACATTAAAATAAAATACAATCTTATTTTTCTACTGATCTTACAATTCCAAGAGCAGATAATCAAGACATTATTCCTATAAAAAGTCAAAGTTTCAATCAATTTAAATGGTGAGACTTGAAACGCCAAATTGCCGTTGTGACTAAACACTTCTGCAGTGTTTGATATCTGGCCATTTTATAGAAAGTTCAGAAAGTAGGAATTTTATAGAATAAGTAACTCTTAGGTCCAGTGTCTCCGCTTTGCACGTAGCTTCACTCAAGTCCCCGTTAAAAAGAACTGGATCTGACCCTTAAGGGGTAGAACCCACATTATTAAAACAATCCCGGGAGGCACTAGCTCCCTTCCCTTCCTAAAAATCAACAGTACAGTTCTGAGACTTTTCCAAGAAACCAGTTATAAATCCTAACCTGCAATGTTAGTTACACTCTACCCAAAACTTTGCCTTTTTTTTTTTTTTTTAGGCTCTATTGTTACTGTAGCCCAGAACTAAAAAAAAAAAAAAAAAATTAAGTATCTTCTACTAGAAGCTATAATCAAATAGATTAATTTGCATCTCGCAACTGAGCTGAAATTCCAGATAAGCCCACCCCAAGTTTAACAGTGTAAATTCACAGCTTTCTCTAAAGATGTTCCAAACACCCAAGCCAAGGTCACCTGTCCGGTCTCCCTGAAGGCGGGACCACGGTTCTCGGACCAGGGCCACCCACAGAGCCGCACGACGCCCGCGCCCTACCTGTTTGGACCGAGGTCTGCCCGGAGAGAACTTTCTCTTGGTGATGGCCGGCTTGCCCATGCCGATTTTTGGAGTGACCGCGAAGTACGTGGTGGGCAGGATGTTTCCCACAGAGGCACCGAGCGCGGGGGGGTAGGGGCGCAGCACGTCGCGCGTGGGCAGGTCCGAGGGGCGGGCTGGGGAGCACGCGTGGGCCTTGCTCGTGTCCACTGCGGGCGGGCGTGGCGACTCCGGCC